GGTGGATGAATCACCCCTGAAGTAGGGGACGTGGGCATGAGCAGCGGGCGCTCGTAAATCAACCTGGCTAGCCCAATGACCGGTACTGACCGGCACAGCCCTGAACTGGAGCTGACACAGTGAAGGGAGTGGGTCTCTAGGTAGATGCTCAGCAGCTGGATGTGGGGAGCATGAGCATGAGCTGTGGGCACTCGAAAACAACCCGTCTAGCCCTAAGACCAGTACTCACCAGCATGCGGCCGAATCGGTGCTGACACAGTGAGGGGCTTAGGAACGAACCTGCATCTGGTGGCCACGACGTCCTGTTTGTGTCGTTCAATAAATCTTGAGGTCCTTGCTGGCAGACCTTTAACAGCTGGTTGACCACCGGCTCTCCAGGGGAGTGTAGTGACGGACATGGGGAAGGGAAGTAGAGTATAGGTTAGGATTAGGATTAAGTGATGAGGTAAGTAAGTCTTGAGGGTTAGGTCTATGTGGTTAGGAGGCAGAGGCTACCCACTGTGTACGGATCTCACCATGGACGACTACCCTATGTTCGGCTTCTTGGCCCTCGGTGTGATATGGGGGGCCCTTCTGCGCAAACTGTTCTCTTTGGGATTCCGCCATGCCTTCGGGTTGGGCGTGGTGAATAGATCCGGTAGGTTCACACAGCCGTATACCCCGCAGGAGCAAGCCAAAATTGATGCAAAGTGGATGGAACAAAGGGAAAATAAGGCGGAAAGATTGAAGAAGGGATAGAACAAAAGTTACAAAAGGAAATGGAAGAGGAGGCGAGGAAGATTGTGGAAGAGGAAGAGATAGAGGTTCTTGAAGGTGAGGATGAGCAAGGAGGGGTTAGATAGCAAGAGGAAGGAGAGAGCAGCCAGCAAGACTAGGCCCATGAGTTGTGAGAGAGCCCTCCTAATTGAGGAACAGGAGTGCCATTAGTGCTAGGCTGGTGGCGCAGAATAGGAGAGAGTTTGAGGAGGAAAAGAGGTTGAAGGAGGAGGGAGAAGCGATATGGAAAAAGCCAAAAGAAAAGCAAGAAGGGGAAGTTGATGTCAAGGCCCAGCTACCCCTCCGCACTTAAGCAGTTCTCCACTCCGCCCAGGAGAACGCTGTGACCCATGCCGCTGTAGATCGGATAGAGGCCCACCAAGAAGAGTTTAAGAGTAAGTGGAATAACTACGTCGTAGCAAATCTGCGCCATATAGAACAGAGGGCTGCCCCCACACATAGAAGATATTCTTGTGACCCACACCGCTGTAGAACGGATAGAGGCCCACCAAGAAAAGTTTAAGAGTAAGTGGAATAACTACTTCGTAGCAAATCTTCGCCAGATAGAACAGAGGGTTGCCCACCACACACATCGGTTAGAAGATATTCTTGTGAGCAACTCACAGAGGTGGCAGCCCAGATGAAGGGTGGAGGAGGGGGAGGACCTCGTGATGGAGATGGTGACAAGAAAAGACAAGTTCGGAAAGAAGATGTGAGACAGCCTGAAGGGGAGAGAAGGGAGAAAATGAAGGTAAAGATCTCTTGGACCTTCACGGGGGCAAAGGGCAAAACTTGCGTGCAGTCGAAGGCAGCCATGGATACTATACGGGCAGTCAATTCCCCACTTTGGCAAGGAGCTGATGACGAGTTCGTGCTAGGGGGAAATGCTGCAAATTTTAATTCATCTCTGATGAGAAGTGCGGGCTGTGAAACCATGGTGGTGTATTCGTGACAGACTGACATACAAACATTTTTTAGGGCCCTGAAAAAGCGATTCGAGGACAAAAATCAGGCTCGGCGGGCTGAGTACCTGCTCCTAAAGATAGGTAGACGTGGAATAGTATGTCCAGGAGGTCAAGGCATACTTCCGGTTGGAGGGGGGGACCACAGCTATGCTGGTCCTCGGGCGGCCACGCTGGGGGAAGGTCTCCCGGGTACCCTCCCGGGCGGTCCGTGCAGGGCAGTCCCCGGGCAATCCCAGCGCATAATATTAAAAAAGTTAGAAAATAAAAAATTCACAAAAATCCGGGAAAAGAATCTGTAGTGTAAAATTGTAATACAAACAATGTTTGGCTGAGGATCCCCTCGAAGTTCCTTATTCATTTTAAGATAAAAATAAATGAGGAAACATGAGGTAAGATACATGCTTTTAAAGTTTAAACCCCTTTAGTCACTGCTTATACCTCCCAAAATCCCCTGTGTGACCCATCACCGAATGGAAGGTAAGACCGAATTCTGACTGCTCAGGCCAAGTGCAGTGCTGGCCTGAAGGCAGTTTTTTTTGGGGGGGGAATACTAGCCTCTTTTTTGACCTGCCTGCCAGTGCCTGGTTTTGCCGGGCCACCCCCCCCTGACCAGCTGGCCCGGTCGATGGCCC